GGAGCCCTTTCACCTGCCTGATGATTCTTTCTCTTTTCTGTATGGTTTTCTGAGAAGCAATCCCATTTCAGGCACATCATAAAAACGGCCATACTGGGTCAGACCAACAATCCATCCAACCCAGTATCCTGTCTGCTGACAGTGGCCAATACCAGATGCCCCAGAGGGAGGGAACACAACTGATAATCCTCATGTGATCCCTCCTCTGTCATCCACCTCCAGAGAAACAGAGGCTAGGGACACCACTCCTACCCATCCTGGCTAATAGCCATTGATGGAACTATCTATGCATCTATCTAGCTCTTTGTTGAATCCTGTTAAAGTCCTAGCCTTCACCACATCCTCTGGCAAGGAGTTCCAGAGGTTGACTGTGCGCTGAGTGAAGAAACGCTTCCTTTTGTTTGCTTTAAACCTGATGCCTATTACTGGTACAGCTAAGCCCTTACCTTTCTGTAAGTTATAAGAAGAAGAAGCTGCGTACTGAATTTGGTGGTCCTAGTTCTCTCCATTTAGGAGGAGGTTTTGAACAAATAGACAAACTCTCTCAAATAAATAGCAGATAGATATCTGGTAGAGTTTCCTGTAGGTAATGTTAACCAACACTTCCCATTTCAAACTCCTGTTCACAGTTGCTAATAATTTTGCCTAACTAGAATAATTCAGACTGAAATTCCCCATACTGGTCATCTGTATCAGACTGATTTTTTTGAAAGTTTCAGCAAAAACAGATGAGCCAAGAATGAAATTAGATACATGCATGTTCTGCCTATGATAAAAAAAAAAATCTTAAAACTGAAAGGGACGGTTTCATGGGTAAGGCAATTGAATACTGCCCTGTATAGTCAGATTCTGCCTCTGCTCAGAATTCCTGTGTGAAGTTGGGCAAGTCACTTATATCAAACCTCTCACAGGTGTTCATTAACTGTGTGTTCCTCATTTTTCTGGGTACCTCACCTGCAATCTTGATCTCTGGTTTAAAGAAAAGCTGAGCACATACAGCTAAAAGTCAATGGGAACCGCACTTTGCATTATATGGCATGCTATATATTCAAAGGGCTGGAAAGTCAGACTTAACTTATCAGAAATCAGGCCCCCTCAAATGAATGGACACTTTTTACCATGATGTCTCTGTGTCTCAGAGATCCCCACCTTTAACAATACCACCACCTCAACTCAACCTTTCATGTTGTGAAAATAAAATAATTAATGTTTGTGAAGCTCAGAAATTATATAGCAATGAGTACCATAGAAAAGCCTCAGAGGAAATTAATAATTGTGTCTTCTGAGGATGAGCAGATGTTGTACTGGTATCCCACATGGAACAATGAAGAAAAAACAAAATATTGAGTAGCTTATCATTCAATAAACATTGTCTAGCCTGAACATAGACTGAAACAGGAATTTCTGTGTGGGGTGTGTGTGCAAACACTGGGACAGATTTCCTCTCCCTCCTCCAGGAGTAAGGCCCAGCCTTGCCCCCAGCCTCACTCCTGGGGGCAGGGGGAGGGAGAAATCAGCCCCAGCCCTCCCCTATATGGCCAGAGCGTGGGGGAAGGAGGCTCGGGCAGCACACCGTTCCTGCATTCCCCTAGCCGGCTGGAGCACATTTACTTGCAGGATCATGGTAGGGATGCATTCACTCCCTCCACACTCTCACACACTCACACACACACTCACACACACACACGAGCCTGGAAACATGGGTCCTGTGGAAAAAATACCATGAGATCAGGTAATTAAAGACTGGACTAGAATGAACATATGCCTTAAATCAGGCATTTCTTAACTTAGACTGTGCAATCTAAACAATCTTTTACATAATTGTTTATGCATAATTTATATATCACTACACTAGTCACTAGCAAATTAATTATAAGCTTATTTAACTCCAAAACTATGTTTCATGCTTTACAGAAATACATCTCTGTTTTACAAGGTTTGAGTCTAGCTGTATTTTCGCCGCCTTCTCTTCTTATAAGTGGCCTCTAATTTT